AGTGCTGTTATAATAAAGAAATCTAGAAATGTTATGTTGGGTATATGGGTTATTAATCCACTGCGACCTAAAAGATCTATTGTACCCCTTTCTATCGCTAATGCATCAAGGAAATATTATCGATGCCTATAACGACCCTTTCAATCTTATCCAGGAATCTATAAATCATTACCAAGCAGATTACATACAAGCAACTAAAATACATGACAGATTTACAGCAAAATATACTATCCACCAAAATATAACAATATAAAGAATTTTTAGAGACACAAGGACATACATTCATTGTCGAAGGGGATTTCGACCTGAAAAACACTGGATGGTGATCTAGGCTAACAACTAAAGGTAAAAAAACTTTTACTAGCATGCAATCAATATAAATGCGGCCGACAGATTCTGGAAAAATTCTTGATCTTAGACCTTTTTATAGTCAGAAATATATGAATAAACTACATGATTGTAGAAGAAGCTCAAATCATTCCCCTATACGTCTTACTCTGAGTAATAATACAAAAAAATTAGTCAAGCAGATTGGAAAAGCTTCAAAAATTAAACTTGACGATAAAATTAACCATTCGGTACAATTAAGTACTGAAGAACAACTAGATAATGAGATTGAATTATTAATTAAAAATATTCAACTAGTAGCATGAGAAAATACACCTCAAAATTTGAAACCATTTAAAAAAAAAACTTGTAAAAATAACGCATCTAATTAAACGTTAGAAGAAAATAAAGTTTGCTCTGCAATCTTCCTGGTAAAGTATGGTATGAAGAGTTGTTCCACAACCAAGCCTATATTCAGACCTATTGAAATAATATCTAACAGAAAGATACTTCAGAATTAAACAGAAAGAAGCATATTCTGAATTAAAAAAATCAAGGCAGGAATACCAGAAGGTAATATACTGGGTCCCATACTTTACAAACTATACACCAATACCACGAGCACGATACAATAGCTATATCTGCAGATGACACTTCAATTCTGGCTACAGGAAAAGATAACGAAGAAGCGGACAGACAAATTCAAACATGTATAAACCAGATTTATATCTGGACTAAAAGATGGCGCATAAAATAGAATTAAAACAAGTCAATTCACGTCAACTTCATAAAACAAAACTGAAGCAACACATTCCAATCGGAATAAACGATAGCCAGATCCCTTTTTATGATTCAGCAAAATACCGGGAGATTTCCAGGTGCGCTGGCCCTACAGGCGAAGATAGGCGCCGCCGCGGTTTTTTTTTTAACAATTTGAAATTTGAAACGAATTAGCGAGGCGCCATTTTAGGTGACTTCCCGTACTGATTCGAGAGTTCCTATCGGCCCCTGCTTCTAGACGCCAGGTTCCGCTGGAGAGCAAATGTCAAAAAGAAACGAGAAGAAAATACAGAAAAATATACTGGCTAATAGGAATAAATTCCAAGCTCTCTATATTATAATAAATTGCTTCTCTATACTAAAACCTGTCTGGAAACACGGTATCCAGCTTTGGCAACACCAAAGTAATTCAAAAACAACAGAAAAGTTACTAAGTAACATCGTATATGCATCCCTGTACTGCGGCAACATTGATCTTCAGCAGGACCTAGGAATGGAGTATGTCAACTAAATCCTTAAACCTGTCATATGGCATCTAGCTTTGGCAATACCAAAGTAATTCAACAACAACAGAAAGAGATACTAAGTAACATCGTAGATGCATCCCTTTCCTGCCGCAACTCTGATCTTCACCAGGACCTAGAAACGGAGTATGTCAAAGAAACTATTACCAAGTTTGCCAGAAGTCATAAACAAATACTTCTTTAACATGGGAATGTCGAGGCAATTCCGCTCCTAGACAACACAAACCAAGTAAGAAGACACAAGAGGACTAAACCGTTTGAGTTAACCTAATAGAGAAGAAAGAGAGCATAGTGCGAAAAGTGTACACATTAAATATTAAGAGTAATTAATTTATTAGATCCTAAGGAACACTATTGAGTAAGACCTTAGTTTTAGAAGTTTCAAAACTGTAGTCAATTATGTTAGAATTAAAGTATATCCAATGATCGTTTTTGACAAGTAAAATACCCCTCACAGGGTATTTTGTTAAATAAAAAAAATAAAGGATTTTTAAAGCATTTACCTTGTACGTTTTGGGAAGGAGTATTTTAGTCGGATTCTTTTACTTCCACGCTAGTTTTGGAAGTTGGTAAATATTTATATAAATCATTTAAATCTTCAATAAATTATATAAGTTTGTCTCTTCTTTAGAGACGATCATTTTTAATAGAAATGTATTTTTACTTGATATGAAAATTGGTTTATAGAAGGAAAATTTATGAGAATAAGATTATTGAAAGTATTAAATAGTTGGAAGAGTTAAATAAATTAAAATAAAAAGAAAAATAGGTATTTTTTTTTTTAATTATAAAATTAAGTACTGGGGCAAAGTGGTAGATAAAACAGAGCCAGAAAATGCTTAAGTGTAGAAGAAAGCAGGGTGACAAATGGAAGGGGCGCAGATAGAAGAGAAAAAATAAAAAGAACAAGGAATAGAAGATAAGTATATTGTTATTCATTTTTAGATATTTGTTAAAAAAAATTTTTTTTTGTTTTAGAAAGTTAACTTTCCCTAGGTTTCTGATTTTTCTTTTGATTTTGGAAACTACCATATCAGTATATACGGAGGACATACTATGAAAAGTTAAGAACGCAGATGGTCAAAAGAGCAGTAGTTTCATTGTTATTGGTTCAAAAGAAAGGTCGTATTTAATGAAAAAAAAAAAAACATGCATAGTGGCATCGTTAAAAAGGCAGTCAGCGAGCCCCTCGTAGCAACGTTTAGGTAATCACATGTGGCTTTTATCTCCCTACAAGATCGCTCGCTGCTATAGCTATCTCACATTCGCCCTCCCCCTCTAACATATTGAGTTCTCTATGTTAACTGTTGTAGGGCTCTTGCTTATCTACAGGCATATTACAAAATATTCTTTTCTAGAATTGACAAGTTAATATCAACAAATGAACTAAGGCAACTTGATATAATTTTGTTGAATTTGACAGCGAGCTTTAAACCAATAATTTCGAATTTGATTTAAAACAATCATTACTTTTTGAGGTTATATTCGAAATAATATATATAGTTTTTATATATAGTGTTTCAAAAATGGAAAACATTGAACGGTACTTTTTTTGGCACCAATACATGCATGTATACACATAGGAACAACATTTAATTGTGCAATGTAACGCGCAGTAATTTGAGATCATGAAGTCTCTTCTTTTCAGAACAAAAAGAAATAAGAATAGACGCGGGCCGGGTTCGGTTAATGTCGACTTCAGTTGATGCATATTATTAAAAAAAAAACTTTGTTTCGAATAACAGAGGTTGAAATGAGTGAAACAAATATTGTAAAAATAATAGGGATAACTGGTTCTGCAGATTTGTCTCATAATGTCACAAAAAGATAAAGAACCATACTTCGAAAATGTATAGGTTAAAAATTATACTATTTTGATTTAATAACTATTACAAAAAAAATAGTTTAACCCTCGAAAACAAACACCCATATTCACTCCGCCACTTGTGTCTCAATTCGATCTGTGTTCTGATTTGTTGATTGTTTTAATCGACTAGTTTAACACATGCAATAACTACAAATGACCTTTTCACTAGACCAAATATCATCGACTATTTCTCTAGAGAAATAATCAATATTTGGTCTAGTGAAATAGTCGTACTAAATATAACAGGACCTTGATTAATATTCTGTTATTTTTGTTGTTACTAAATTTCTCGAATATTTTACAATTTGATTGAACATAATTTTGGCATTAATAATCTATTTATTAATGCCAAAATTATGTCTCATTAAATTGATATTAAAATATTCTCGAGATTTAGACGCAACAAAAATAGCTGACTATTACCCTTTATGATATCCCTGGCGTTAGTGCTGGAGAAAATGAACAAGCATAATTTTTTCTATAAAAAGACGAGAACTAGCATGTCTTAATTATAACGGATCCCATTTAAAACAATTATTATTGTAGCATAATATGTTCGTTCTCAAAGGTTTCTCGTTAAAAAATGTACTAAAATAGACATATTATTATGAAGTTTTTGTTTTACGGCAATTTTATTTTTTAGGAAACAACAACTTATAGGTTGGTGTATCAAACGGAATAGCCAAAAAAGGGAAAATTTGCCCATTTTTAAATTTTATGATTCAAATCGTTTTCGAACATTATACACTTTAAACACTTTTAATAATAATTAATAAAGGACGTCGGTGTAGGATACAACATGTACCTCAGAAACTGTGTCGTATAATATTGAAAAAAAAAATATAAATTTAAAAGTGGTTAAGAGAAATCGGTGGAAATTATTTTCAATTCTCTAACTTCGCCACTAGATGGGCTATTCCTTACGATCAATGATAAATAAATAAACAAGTGGGTAGTCAAAATTCAGTAAAATTTCATACAGATTACAGTATTTATATTTTTGACATAACTTAAATCGACATTTTATGAAAACAAAAAAATAGTTTTCATCGTTAGCCATAAGCATTACGCCTCCTAGCTACGAAGTTATAAACTTGAAAATAATTTTCAGCGACTTTCATGTAATTTTGTTAAAAAAAAATCTATACAATTAAAGATTTCTTATATATCGCCGGCGTCCTTTATTAATTGGATTATGAGTTCATGTATTTCAATAGCATTAATATACAGGATGTCCGTAAATATCGTTCGAAATAAATGTTTTCATATGAACCTGGATCTGGAAATGCATAATTTTCAAGATACAAGTAAACCCGTTTTTGATAGAATTTTTTTTCTCAAAGATATATTTTTTTACGAAAACGTAGCCCAATATGAAAAAAAATCAGTGGCGCACATTTTTTCAATATTTGGTAAGGTGCTCCCCGGAAGGCCACTAAACTTTACAATTTTAATATAATTGAGGCTAAATTATTACTTTATTATTATTATTATTATTATTATTATTATTATTATTATTATTATTATTATTACAAACAGCACTACCAAATTTCAACAAAATCGGCCAAAGGTTATTAAAGATATTTATAAAAAAACGAGTTTGACATATGTATCTCGAAAACTATGCATTTTTGAACCCAGGTTTATATGAAAAAAATTTTTTCTTATGCAGAATCACCCCTGAAATTTTTCGGTATTTCCGGAAAAAACGTATATGTATAAAATTTTCAATTTGTTCACATTAATTTAGTTGTTTCTTATATTATAAGACAAATCTATTATGCAGCTTTTAAAAGTAACCTATGTTATTCTATTAATAATATTTTACGAAAGTGAATCTGAAAATAATGTCTAAAAAAAAAGAAGTCCACCGAAACAAGGCACGCGAAAGTTATTTCATACCTGGCAGTTTTGTTTATAAAGTACTGACAAAAACTTCTCAGTAATATACAAAAGAAAATTCAATAAGACTAGCTTAAAATGTAAATGTACAGTACTGGACTGCCTAAGAAAGAACTACGAACTATTGGGGATCCGAAGTGCTAGATCTTCTCCGAATGTTGCTCAACACGTTGGGTTGGTTCAAGCATATCTGTTGGTACTGCTGCAGTTGAGCTTGCTTCTGCAGTTGGTTAGCGATCGCGGAGTTCGAGGCCAGCGTTACTTGCGAAGCATCTGAGATAAAAGTTAAGTGTAAAAAATATTTCTCTAAAAAATCTTTATCACAGTGAAGTTATTCAAAAAATATTTCAAATTCAATAAATAATGATACTTATTTATAATAGTGGCATGCATTGACTGACTGGTTTTTGTGAAATGAATTTAAATCAAAAATGACTTTTTTAATGAATGTTATCAAAATTTAGCTGCAAATCGGTCAACTGACTTGTGCCGGGCGTTGCCATCTTGATCGTGATTGGTGTTCTTTGGAGAGTCCGAGAGGTCAACGTTTGCGGCTGGGCGGTGGCCTGCTGCATTCTTGGCCTCTGGAGAGGGGTTATGAGTTGGAAGGGCTGTCTACCTTGCGTCAAAGATACCGTTTGCGGACTGGCCGATGTTCTGATTCCTTGCTGAGTTACTCCTTTTACTCCCGAACTTACCAATTGAGCTAGAGAGAAAAATAAATGACTATTATTCCAAATTAACTTTAAATCTGATCAATGGTTCAGGTCCTGATGGCTTGCCACCAATGAGGTGCAATAATATAGAGATGATATACCATTAAAAAGCTTCTCCCATGTCATAGTTGTCAAAACTTTTGCAAATTTGAATATTTAAGCGTTAATTGTGTCCAAATCAGTATTTTGTATTGTTGTTTTACAGAAATGTGCTAAACTTAACTGTACAAATGAAAAAATTAAAAGCTGAAGAAAATATCTGGATTAAGTTTCATAAGTAAGTATGAGGACTGTATTAAGTGCTTTTCTACAATGCTTAAGGTTATTATGTTATTACAGATTTCAAAATCAAAGTCTGGTCAAAATTTGTGGGAAAATGTCAGTGGAAGCCTAAACCAAATAGTGTGTTGTGTTCTTCTTTATTATTTAATATCCAATTCACAGATATACATCGTAGAATTATGTACTTAAATTGATATTTATAAATATTGTTATAGACGGAGACGAATCGGCAATGATCAAATTTCTGTCCTTTTTATAAAGTTCGTTAAATTGACTGTAGTTGGCAGGTCGAACGTCACTGTCGTTAATTTTCCATACGTCAATGTAAAATGAAGTGATTTTTTAAAAAATTGGTGAAAAGAATCAAAATAATGTGAAAAAGTACCTGAGTACAAGTAACATGAGTGACAAAAAAAATTAAAGCAAGATTTACTTCGTTCCAGATTGTAAAACAGGATACAAATCAGATGTAAAGCTAAAGAAAACACAAGGAGAAATCAATTTAATGTATTTTTAAAGCTTCTAGTGTAAGTAAAATAATGTATTTATGTATAAATATAATATTTATTGTAAACTAGTCACAACACGTATCACGGAGTGTAGTTTATTTTATTTCAAGTTTCTATAAAATAGAATTTTACAGTCATAGATCCTGACTTACAAACAACAATAATTATACATTAAATTTAACTTACTAGAAAAGCAAATTTGTTTTTTATGGAGTTTTAATGTTAGATAAAGAGTTACTACTGTTATTTTTTCGTTGAAGCCCAATTTTGTCATTGTAAATATTTTATTTTTTATAGGATCCTGAACGCTTAGAACAGTGGCATCATACATATTGTTCCTAGGGCCGATAAAGCTCTTTCTAGATATGATGCTGTTCTACACTTTTTAGAAGATATTTCCAAATATTATAAGACTCTTTTTACTGATGGTACTGTTAGCAAAATAAAAAGGGGAAAGCCGAAATTAAAAGGTGAGGCAAATATCATGTACATTCCCAAATCTCCCTTTATGTTTGTATTGTAATGCGAGTTATTTCATTTTTCAGTCATGCTCTAATCCTTCTATGTCTTATTTGGCCTTTGAGGCTCAACTTGTCCGATTATCAGATATCATCAAACCCCTTAAGACCAAACATATGTGAAGACTATGGCGGAGGCGCTTTCGAGTACATTCCAGAGTCAACGTGATAAATGTTACAAGTATTGGTGAGAATTGGTAAGAAGATTCTAGTATCTTCGCCAAAATTTTAAATGTGTATATAAGTATTGGTGGAGGAACACGAAGCAGTCAGTTGTATATAGACAGTTGAGAATAAAGTATTGGATTGTGAACACTTTAAAGACATTCGAAATATATATAAATTAAAATATTGTTTTAAAATAAATAAGTGTTTAAATAAATTATTATTAAACTGTTGTTTAAAATAAACTATCGTAACAGTATATTAATAAAAAAAATCTGTTAACTGTGTTTTATTTTGCTCTTAAAACTATATTTAGGTATAATTCAAAAAAATTTAGGCACAACTGTACTTACAAAATTTCACCATTTAACAAATCTTTTCGAATTTCATCATACCTACCTAATTTGCATTTTATATAGATAAAATTAAATAATTTATCAATTAAAACATGCGACTTATTTAGAAATAAATACAACAGTATATTATGTGCTTTATTTGGAAATAAACAAGTTTATTTTTATTATGTTGACAAAATTATGTTAAATTCCCATAAGAAGCCATGTATTTTGAACAGCGCTACTAGCACCAGCGCCCTTGCGGTGAATTAAAAAAGCTCAATTAGCGTTCGTTTTTTGAGAACGTATTTCGAGTATACAGATTCGCTTCCTTATCTCTAGTCTTCATAAGAATGACATTTCCAGACATTTCTGGACTATTTTATCTTCTTCTTTTACTCGTACTTTTACTTATGACGACCGCAGCACACTGTAGGGTGATGGGTGACATTGCACTACTTTTTGTATTCGTACGTTTCCTATAATAGACACAGGCTACTGCAGTGCAGGGTAACAATGTGAAAAGAGACAGGTGTTGGAGCAGAAGTCGGATGGTATAATGAAGCCAAAAAAGGGAACAGCAGAGAGAAAAAAGAAAAACGGACCAGAATATGTTTTTCTATAGCTTATGAGATAAAAATTATTTAGATTTTTTGTAGGTAGCCATAGGAGTCATGACGTTAAAGCTTTTAAATATTGGAATGTATACTCTTCCGGGGGGTGGAACCATTGCAATATATATGTTGTCATTAGCTTAGCTCTTCATCCAGACAAGCACTATTCCACTACTAATTTATTATTAGGAATAAAAATGCCAGTTTCGTCAAACTTTTTCACTAAACATGAAGACTTCCTTTCTTTATAAAAAGTATGCAAAAAAATGTTTAAAATACGTAATTGTTGCTTAACACTATATTATACAGTCGTAATTTTAGTATTTAAATTTGTACTGTTTTTAAACCTTTTTTAGGCAAAAGGCCATGCTGGTATAGTCGGCAATCAATGTGTAGATTTAGAAGCGAAAAAGGCATGCGATAAGGAATCGTTGACGGAGGTGCCAGTTTATCTAAATTTAGTAAATACATATAAAAAAAAATAAGAAAAAAACTGGGAAGCAAATTACAAAAAATACAGCTTCAACTCTAATAATCACTATTTTACTATCCATAAAGAATTGCCTAGGGTAATTCCTCATATTGATATATTTGGATTAAATAAATTCCAGTCTGGGAACATTACAAGGTTGAAATTTACCCATGGGCGCTTCCCTGCCCATCTTTTTAAAATTGGCCTACTGGATTCCCCTATATGTACATGTAATAGTTCCTCCACTGCAGATCTTAATCATATTTTTTTCAATTGTTCAAACAATTATAATTCAATTATCCAATTGTATAAAATGCTCATTAATATAAATATATTCCCGCCCTATAATATTACGTACCTACTTGCTCTTGAAAATAAATCAATTTATACATATCTCACTAAGTTCCTATCATCAATTAACCTACTAATATAATTTGGTTTTAAAAATCATTTTAATAAAGTTTTTGTATATATATTCCTCATTTTGTGGCAAACAGACTTAGTCTAATGCCATTCTCTCTCACACACACACACAAACCTTTTTTAATAAAATCAGAGCCGAGATGGACATAAAACAACCGAGCTAATCTGTCTGGTTCAACTGGTAGTGAGTTGCCATATGTCTCAGACTTAGATTCTCTTTAACTGACTTCAAGAAATGTTCGTCAGAATATTTTTTATGTATGTTCAGCGATAGTTATTTACCACCTTGTCCGATTTCTGTGATTTTTTTTGTTAAAAAGGGGGTACCTCAGTGGTAGTCAAGATCTGGTGATGCCATATATGAGAAAATCTAATTTGTAATGGCATATGCACGAATTTGAAGTCGGTTTTTTAAAATTACTTTTATCAGTTGCAATAGTGCGACTGTGATTTGTCATCGTGTCTCCTTTTTTCGCGAACGGGAACTATCGTGAATGAAATACCTAAGGTGAGGGCACAGCTAGTCAGCTCCACAACTCTCTTGGCGGGAACGGCTTGAGCCGATCTAGTCGCGCAGCGCTTATGTCTCGCCTCTTGCGGAAAAAGATTGTTTAGATGTACAAGCAGATCGAGTGACTGGTGTCGGTGTTACTGTTTTTCATTCAGCAGTCATAGTCGTTCCACAGCTTTTTTCGGGAGTTGATATTTTTATTTGTAAGGTTTGGTTTTCTAACACTATGAAACTGGACTCGTTCACCGTTATCAAACGTTTTTGTACGGTGAACGGTGACGATGAACGAACAAACTCGAAACAATTTTTTCAAACTGTTTCCTAAAATATAAAATGCAAATTAAAGTCGCAGCTACAATTATAATCAACAAAATTTAACGGATTTATTGTAGAATAATTTCAATACCTGATTTAAAATGTTTAAAATATTAAATGATTTTATCGTTTTTTAAGTATAAATGATAACAAAACAATTTTTTTTAAATTTGTTATTACTATTGTCCTACGAGACTGGTCCAGCTCTATAAAGCGGCGACCAGTCTACATTGATACATCCGAGAGAATATCAGAAAACTCTTTGTATACGTACTAACTCATATACGTACTAACTCATAAAGCAAGGATTTTCGCGGCGGGATTGGTTGTACCTTGGCCATTGCTCTGTAGTTTAGATTGCTTGCCTACTTGTAGGTATCTCTTTCTGCATGGATAATGGAGGAATGCAATCATCGAATGTCTTCCTCCCTGTGGCACTGCTAAATACGTTAAGGGCAGCGTCTGGCCATATTTCGAAAACTGTTAGTCTGGTCAATTTCGCAATTTTTTTTACAAAATCTTTAAAAAAAAAATACTTAAAAATTATTTTACCTTTGTAACTTTTCGCTATGTCACGTGATATACCCACAATTGTGTTTTCATAAAAAACTAAACAATATTTTGTGATGTATTTCATTATCTTTATGTGTTGGTTGTACGGGATGTATTGGAAAGACAACATGTAAATATGTTAAGTTTTAAAGAAAATTCCTAAGTAAGTCAACGCGATTATATGTTTCTTAAGGCGGGGTTGGTTGTAGTTTAGCCATTGCTTTGTAGCTTAGATTGCTTGCTTGTTTGCTTGTCCGCTTGTAAGTAACTCTTTCTGCATGCCAATGAAGAAAT